ATGATCTTGAAGGTCTTTTCCAACCTAAATGATTCTATGATCAGAAAAGACAAAGCATAGCAAGGTATGGCAAAAATCCTTGATCAAGAAATTGCTTGCTAAGTGAAGGAATTCTTCTGCTCTCTTATCTCTAAGAAATTTGCTGAGATGTTGCAAAATAGTAGATGGCAAAATAAACTTAATTTATCATCATACTCAGATATAATTTGTATTTTTTAAATCATACTGAACTGTTGTTCATATGACTAGAAAACAGTCTTCTACCACCCCCAACATTTCCTACATGAAAAAAAAAAGTTCTCCTTCATATTGTTCACACCATTCTATGCCTAAAAAACATTAGTATTTAAAACTAACCTTAGAGTAGCAAGATTTTATATGGAGTATTTTTCTCTTCTTTGATTTTATTTTTCCTTCTTAATATGGCCACAAATATGCACTTAACACAATAAATAAATTTGACATCTAAATTATCACAGTGAAATGACAAATACATGGATAAAAAAGAAAAGTTATCTTACTACAGAGATGCAGTATCTCTTAATATAAAAAAAGGCTTTATGCTCTTGTGTGGACAACCTGGTTGTCTCCAATCAAAGCTGAAGCTCTGCTGAAATACTACAAAACCCCCACCCTTTTGCAGACTTTAAGGGAAGTATTATATATTCAACACCAAATAAATCAAATCTTTATTTAGCCTTGAATATATTAAATGTATTAGTTTAGAAAAGGAAGCTTCTGCAAAAAAATCTCAGCTGTAATAAAACCCCAAACACTTAAGACTATTAAAATTCCTTTGAATATAATTTTAACTAAAGTACTCATATTATAGCAGAGTACTACTATATTAAAAAAAAAAAGTAAACCTCATTGTATTTCAACAAAGTAAAATCTGCCTTCCTAGTCTAAGCTGAAACACACGGAACAAAACATCTAAATTACAGTTTTGCAAACTCCTGTCCTAACAACGAAAACACAGTTTCCAAAATTACATGTGCACTTTTCCAATTTTTAACCTGGTATTTTCTTACAAGCTAGAGATGCCATTTGCTCTTTCTCACCTTGCTCTTGCTCTTCCTTGTGCATCCAAATCAACAGTTGGCACTCCAACACGAACAAACCGTGTAAAAAGAGACTGCTCCATGTTAGAGTATTTTTGAAAAGCCATGTTCTTAATGACTGGTGGCAACTGATGATGGTCACCAATCATAATCCACCGCTTCAAACGACTGAATCCATCCTGGGGGTTCTAGAATTAAACAATTACACAATTATAACTATTACAGTATAATCGAGGCACTCAATTACAACACATTAATAGTCAAATTGTCTTAGTCTAAACCCTAAATTTCAACATTTGTTCTTAAGCTACACTGAACTGCAGTCATTTTAAAGACTATTAACTTCTTTCCAATCTACTACCAGAAAAAGGAAATAGTATTTTAAATAAAGTCTTTTTTCTTATAAAGCAACATTTAAGTTTATTTATTAGAATCAGTAGAGAAACATCAGGATAAGTATATTACATTCTTTTAAAGGTCAAAAGTAACATATTATCAGAGGACAAAAGGAAGAACCACAGTTAGAGAAGTTACAGTAGTAAAAAACACTGATTTCTACATGGTAGTGTCACCCTAGAACAGTCCTTTAAACTTTAACTTTTGGATTCTGAGATAGTGAATATGAACTGCCTAAAGCATCTGAAACTGTTTTAGTCCTCACATGTCTGGGGCACAAACTGAACCTGCCCTTCAAGTGTCTCTGTAGTTCATGTGCTTCGCTTGTTTACCTCTGGAATTCCCACATGGCCTCTTTAACGACCAAGATGTGCCTCTAATTAATCACCAGCCTGACTCTTGGACTGAATGTTCTTCAGTATGTTTGGTATATCTCTTTCCAGGTCCTCATCCTTTGTGTACCTATGTTACGTACTGACAGATCTCATGAAGGAACATTGTAATGTAGGAACAAAAAAGGAACAGATGAGTGGGTAACATTATCCAGGAATTAGAATCCTGAGGATTTCCACCTGCCAGTTTTATAATTCAGACCCTCATTTTTCACACACTCCTGTAATATCTCCCTTTCCCCTTTCAAGGAGCACTATTCAAGACAGAGGCTAAAATTCCTTTTCTTGCCACCTGAAGTGGAAGATCTCTGAAGCCCTCTCTGATCAGAGAGCAAGGAAGGAAAACTGAACTCTGGACTGTCCAGCTCATCAAGCCTGAAGACACTTTAGTGAGAAGGTAAAAGGATAGAAATTACTTTCAATGGCATGGAAAAAGATTTCTTTTTTTTCTTTTTTCCTCCCAAAAGTTTACTGCTTTGGAGAAGACCAAGTGTTCTATATAATCATTTTGCTCTTATCAACAATTTCAAATCTCAGACAAAGAGCCCTCCAAAGAACTCTGTTTTTAAAAATATCCTACTCTGAATTGCAAGTGCAAGCAATCAAGTACTACTACTCTGTAAGCCTAGATCTTCAGGTTTTGTTTAAAAAAAATCCTCAATTTGCAAGGACTATTTGGATGGCTTTTGTAAATAAGGTCATGGAATATCCCCCAAAATATGGCTCTATGGTGAAATGGTCTGCTTTAATTACATAAAACTCTTCAGCTTCTGCATTGCTCATATACACTTACTTCCCCTCACCAGCCTGATGCATCTAGTTATTCAATGCTCATTCAAACATTTGAAAAACACTGTAAGATGCTTATTTCACTAAATATAACAATTTCATAATCAATGAAAATCATGGTAAAAGACACACAGGATTTCTTCATTACACAGCACTGCAGTACAATGTTGTGTTATGATTTATGAGAAGCCTTACCCAATAGAGGTTTGCTCTCCGAACACTCCAAATAAGATGGAGAAATATGTGCTCCTGTTCAGAGTTTAGGCAGTATTTGGGGTTTAGAGGGTGAATTAGTTGCCTGCCTGCTCAGAATCATCAAAACTCAGCAGTCTTTAACACATCAAGAAAGTGTTAAAAAAACTACATTAATATCCCTAAAACTTAAAAACCTACAGAGTTAAACAGCAACTAAGAACAGGACTTGCTTGGGGCTTTAATAGCAATATGGTTAACTTGGACATGCACATTCTTTTGTGCACTAGGCCCATACAGAGTTACTTTCCTGCAATTGTATTCTACTCTCCATTGTTAAAGAGCAAAGTGAAAAATTATGAGCTGCAATTACAAATACATCAAATATTTCATGGAGTTTCCATCACACCTTTTTCAATTGAGATTTATTTTCTTTTAGAATGAAAATCCAAAAGCTTGGATGTGGTTTTCTAGAAGACTTAAAATTATTGCTTTTCAGTGAAAATACCTGCTCCAGGCAAAACTTCTGAAAGGAAACAATTTTAGAATATGAGCAAAGGCAGACTGTGTGTTTTTCAGAAAGCCACTAGAGTAAGAATCGAATCAACAGTACAGACTGTCTTCAGTTATTACTAACTTCCCACACATCAGCTTCTGATTTGCAGCTAAAGAAGTTTGCACAAAGTTCCTCAGGGAGCCCATACTTCATTTCCAGAGGTGAAATTTTATCTCACAATAATCTGAGATTACAGAGATAACAGAGCCACAGATGTGAGAGAAGCACATTTTGCTTACTTATGAAATCCTCTAGCTCTTAAAAGAGGAAAGTGATGCCAACCAAGCTCAGGTTGCTAAAAGCAACTACAGATAATCTTCACTAGAGGCACAAAAAACTTCAAGGCAGTCTGAGTGAATGTGTTGAGTTTAGAATGACTGGAGTAAACATTTTTAGGGAAAGACACTCAACTTTAAAGTAACAGTGTTGGCCCTCTATTACAACAATCCCTTACATTACAGAGCTATTGCTACCTGGCTTCCTAAAGACTGTGCTATAAATATCCCCTTTGCCACATTAACATCAGTTTCCTTCCTTCCCTGCATTAGCAGTACCTTTCCAGCTGCAAGACTTCCATTCACATGTATCACATCTGCATTCCTTTATCTACCAATTGTTGGTTTGCCAAACACAGTACAAGCTGCAATTGATTCCAAGCTAAACTTTTACTAATTAGCTAGGCAAAAAGTGCATAATTATTGGGCAAAAGTAGAAGTAGAATCAGTAACCATTTCTTTTCTTTCTGTGGAGTTGTAACATCAATTAGAATGTCTCCTCTCTACTTAGCTCCAGTTTTCCCGAAAGTTGTAGGTGCTCAGTATCTCTCCATCTCTGTTAGTCTTGACTGAAACTGACCAAACAGCACAAGCAGACAGGAGGATGCAGAGCAATTATGTAAGCCTTACGTTCTTGGGAGACAAAACCGTTATTTAACAAGACATAATAATTTTAATATTTAAAATTAGCAGTAGTCACTATGAAATGAGAAAGAATGAAAGTAACAAAGCCAGGACCTAGTTTACATAAATATCTCTGCTTTTTTATTTTCAAAATGAAAGCCTGCTAATCCTACTATTTAGTCAATAAAAGCAACATATTTAGAACCTATTAGGTTGCCCCATAATATTAAAAAACAAGGATAAACAACTAATGTAGAACAATGTAAAAGTTCTTACTGTCCAACCAAATGGCAAATATCAGTTCTACGTTACTTTCTGCACAAGATATTTTTCTTTTAATATTCTATATTGTTCAAGCACACAGACTTTCATTTATTATTTTTTGTAATACGTTTTATGATTAAGGTCTAACCTGCAACAGGAGAGGTATAAAGGTTTCTATCTCCAGAATCTGAGCAGACTCTTCCATTAAGATGTTGTCATACTGAGAATGAAAAAGTAAAGAGATGTCCATCAACCAATTAATACAAATTAATGCTGTTATTCAGCCTACTGAAAAAAAGCATCAATTACTCATTTGGGTTTTGATGGGGAGGACCAGCTACAGCAGGATTTTACCTTATAGGCAAAATATCAGTATTACCAAAAATCCATGTCAGAAGGTGAAATCCTACTACATCAATGGCAGATCTATCTGTACCAATCAGGCCTTATATCTAGAAGGAATCCATGACTGAACCACATGACATGCTTCCCATGTGCCATAACCCATCCGCAAGAGAAAAGCCTTCTGCAGTGGAGCAAACCAATTTGGTATCTTTGCACTGAAGCAGAAAAGAAGCACTTTTGCAATCCAATATAGTGCATTATTGGAGAAAATAATACTGAAAGAATTATTGGTGGTGGGCTTTTGTTTTCTTTTTGTGAGACAAAAGTCTGTACTAAATCAATATCTATGTTTAAAACTGCGGAGTGAAAACAGCATTTCATCATAGTTCTTTTTCCCCAAAGTGTTCATTTTTTATGTAAACAAAGTTATAAAGGTCATTTTTTCCCAATTCTGCCTTTATTTTATTACTCAATGGTATCACTGCAGTTCATCATCTAATATGGCAAAACTAACTTTTTCTTTATATACATGTGCTATTAACCATTTTTGTATATACAATAACTTAAAAGAGATCTCATCTTTTACTTACAGAAGTTAAATTTTTCTTCAGTAAAATTACAAATTGAAACATACTGGTAAAAAAATGCAATTCAAAATAATCTAGCTACCTAGATTTAGGAAAGAAAAAGGTTTATACAAGGTGGGGGGGGGACCCAAACCCCAAAAACAGTTAGTGTAGTAACACTAGTATAATCATTACTTTGAAACCTAATTCAACCAGGTCATGTCGTTTCAGAGCAGCATGAGTACAAGTCATGGCAATGATTTTTGCTTCTTTCACCAACAGGTATTTGGATCTATCCAGGCCACTGCGGAGAAGTTCAAATGCTCTGAATTCCTATGGAGGAGAAAAGAAAATCTTTGAAAGTCAGGATACAGAAAATTATTGCTTATAAAATGTATTCACTCAAACTATCTGGCAACCTCCTTAATATAATTAGGCAAGAAAGTTATGAAGATATCTACTGTTAACAATCCCATCTGAATAATTTTTTTTTAAATGCTAAACCTGGAAACAACAGTATTTCAAAAACCAATCTTTTAAAAACACATCAAAGAGTTTTGCAACCTGTATGCATATATAAATTTGCAGATAATTATTCAATTAATTCTAAGGAACCCTCTCAGAATCCTGCAAAATTTTGATTTACTGTATCTTCTTGTTTCCTACTTTACTGCATCGTAACATCACATCAAATTCAGTATTAGAAAGACCAATACAGTTAATATGACCAAATGATACACAGATCACCTTCACCCCAACTTTTAAAAGCTTCTCAAGCAATTCTGGGAAATATAGAAGATAATCCGTTTAAGTTACTTCTAGGTTATCTGATTAAAGGCAATTCACTGTAAATACAAAGACCCTGTGAGGATCAGAGGAGCAGTGATAGGCACACCAACCCTAGTAACCACATCAGTGAAAACAAACATGCAGAATGGCTGCTTCCCAAGATCAAAACCAAAACAGATTAGACCCTTGTCCCTATTGTGAAACATGCCTATATTACTCAAAGGTGGAAACCCTCACCTGAAATCCTTGCAAGCTAATGAAATTGCCTAGAGCTACATACTCATTTTCAGATGTATGGCAAAGGAGAGTTTTGGAATTGTGTAAAGTTTTGGGTTTTTTTTTTTTTATAGGATTAGCCTTATCTACTTACCTTTAATAGTTATATGTCTTACCTCAAGCTGAGTGAATATTTTCTTAACATGTCTAAAACACCCTTCAGCAATTTCCATATCTTCTTCATAGGATTTGCCTTTGAAAATTGGTTGAGGAGCATTTGCAAAATACTGATGAAAAGGAAACAAACTGGAGACATCCGTAACATCTGGCACTTTTCCACCTTTAACTTTCACTTTGCTGATATACTCCTCCCAACGAGACATTACCTATGGCAAACAAGTGTCATACTGACATGTTTTTATATCATAAAGTCATTGGCAAGGTGTAGTCTTGCACACATAGTATTAAAAAAAATCTATCACAAAAGCCATTTATGTCTAAATTAGCATTTAACCTTGTATCAGAATGACATTTTTGAAGCTGTGGTGGGTTGACCTTGGCTGGCTGCTAGAATCCCACCCAGCATCTCTCACTCCTCCTCAAGAGGACAGGGAGAAGATAAGGTGGAAAAGCTTATGGGTTGAGATAAAGACAGGGAGATCACTTAGCAAGCGCCATCACAGGCAAAACAGACTTAACTTGGGGAAAACTGATTTATTGCCGATTAAAAATAGAGTACAATGGTGAGAAACAAAGACAAAACCACCCTTCTCCACTCCCTCTTTCTTCCCAAGTTCAATTTCACTCCTTCATTCCCAACTCTTCTACCTCCTCCCCACCCTAAGCAGTGCAGGAGGAATGGGGCTTGTCATTCCAGTTCATAACACTGCATCTCTGCCACCTCTTCCTCCTCACACTTCTCCCCTGCTCCAGCATGGGCTTTCCACAGGCTGCAGCTTCCTTCAGGGGATATTCAACTGCTCCAGCATGGGGTCCTCCAAGGGCTGCAGTGTGGATATCTGCTCTGACATGGTCCTCCATGTGCTGTAGGGGGACAACCTGCTTCACCATGGTCCTCTCCATAAACTATGGGGGAAATCTCTGCTCTGTTGCCTGGATCACTTCCAGCCCCTCCTTTTCCTTCTGACCTTGGTGTGTGGAGTTGTTTCTCACACCTCTCTGCCCCCAGCTGCTGCACAGTGGTTTTTGACCTCTTCTCAAAGATGTTTTCACAGAGGCACCACCAGTGACACTGATGGGCTCAGCTTTGGCCAGCAGTGGGTCTGTTGGAGCTGGCTGTGTCCAGCAGAGGGCAGCTCCTCGTCTCTTCTCAGAGATCACCCCTGCAGCCTGCTGCTACCAAAACCTTGCCACATAAACCCAACAAAGAAGCAAATCTCTTGATTACCTCCACTTACAGTACTTTCGTTTAAATACCAAGTGGGATTCCTTTGGGAGGAAATTGAACCAGAAGATGAGCTCTAGCAGTGCTCCTAGCACTCTCCAACACTTAATGTCCATTTAATGTTTAGGCCCACACCATAGCTAGCCCAGACTAACTTCTGTAAAAATATATACAGTGTATGCATTTGATCCTAAGTACTGCTGTACAAGTCTGCTGAAGCCACACTAATTGCTAATGTAGACCATGTCACTGAAAAACACATGGAAGGGAAATGAGGGATATACAATATACAGAAAACCACTGTTTTGTATACTATGCATCCGATTTCACATTGGCATTTAACACCATAAAAGCGTTCTAGCAGGACTATCAAGTAGCTGCTCTAATGCTTGTCCAAAATGTAAAGCTGCCCACAGATTTTCCTATTTGAAGGAGAAACTTCAGGTTAGAATCTTTGCCAGCAGTCATAAAGAGTAGCAATGCTGGCTTTCCAATTGGTGAGTCATCAGGCAGGATTTAAAACAATAGCAATGCATGTAAGTAATGTTGCAATTATAGCTTTAGCTGTTATTGTATTTTGAACCACCAAAGAAAATGTGGGTTTTTTTAGACCCAATTCTGAAAAATTCACTCAAATTTTTACAAAGTGTTTCATAACATATTGAGGTCATACAGTCTCTGCAGAAGTATTTCAGTCCTTACTTGGTATAAGAAAAAGTGTCCAGCTGTTTCACAAGTGTAAGAAACATCTCCTGGGACTCCAAGACTCTCTTGCAGTCGTCCAACTTCTCGCAGAAGTTCAAGTCTTCGAGCCAGCACATAATTAACTCTTCCATACCTACAAAATGGATTAAATACAACATAATTCATATCCAAATGTATTTTACTCAAAACTGTTTCATCTAAGTATCATGAGAGACCACAAAAAACCCCAACACTACCCCCCCAAAACCCACAACTACTACCCAGTTCCAAAAAAGCAAGAATTTGCTACATGCTGACTATTTCTATCAGTTGAGCCCTAATAGTTTACAAAGCCATACAAGAGCCATTCCTGTAGAAAAAACTCCTTTTATCCTATCACTTCAACAAAAGCTTCGTAAGTGTTAATAATACATTCTCATGATGCACCTGTAAAGAAGAAAAACATTACTTCCGATGTACTGTTTAGGAACTATGATACACTACACGTACAACTTGCTTGTATTTGTGTAACAAACGGACCATCATAAATAGAACCTGTACTGGAAGTTTCAGTATGATAAGGCTGGCTGACTTTGGCAATACACAAAGTGTCTTGCACTAATGATTAGCCCACCTTAACAGACAGGTCTGGATCCTGCACTCATAGCTGCCTGTTGAGTAACTTTTATGACTTTTATGATTAGTTTGTAACCTACTCCTTCCATTCTTCCTCCTTCTACACAATTCAAGCCCAATTTCTCTCCTTTAAAAAAATCAATTTCTTATTCCATGCACTCTCCCTGCTCTCAGAAGCGGTACAAGAACAACAAGAACAACAACAACAAAAAAAAGAATCAATGAATCACATCTTCTAAAAAAGAAAACAAATTAAACAGTGGTATAAATGGGTGGAATTAAAGAAGTGAGAGGAACAGAACACTGTCTTTCAAAAATGCAGATGTAGTTAAAAGCTCAAAAGTAAATAAAGGCTAACTTTCAAGTTCTTATTAAACTTACTACTCATAAAATATGCTTTCTGCACAGAAAAAGAAATGACACAATCCCTGGTAATCACAATGGGTTCTACTGTCTTATTTAGAAGGGTGGGAGTAGTTAAAGCTAGAGATTTGAATTTACTAAGACACAACTGAACACGATATTGTTCACAGCTGGAAAAAACAGGTTCTTCAGGAACTATGACAATTAAGATCCTTGGAATACTAGTTTTTTCTTCTTCAACAAACTAATCCATTATAATTACAAGTGACTGCAACCAGTTGTGGGTTTTTTTTCTCACACTTCCAACATCCTCTTATTTCTCACAATTGAAGTCATATGTCCTCTTTTAAGTATTTGTTCATCGCTACAAAAATTTTTTTTAGCTGTGATTCCCTTTGTGTTTAAGTGACAGTACCAGTTTAATCAGCTCCTGTCCACCTTACGTTCTTATGCCCCCTGCCCCACTTGGCTGTGCCTGCAGAGAGAGCAAAAAAGGAACACGAAGCTTGCAAGCAGCAGAAATTCCTTAAGCAGTACTGTGCCCTCTAAACCAGCCTGACACAGAAAAATCACTAACTTAAAAGCTACCTAAACCCAAACAAAATGAATATGGGAAGTAAACTTCTCTTTTCACAGTAGTGCAGCCCACCTTCAAATATATTCCTCAACCCTTATCCTTCCCTACCAAACTGCCAGAACCCATAGGACTTGCAGTAATGTCCTGTAGGTCTGGAGTTACCTTGAAAAAGAATGAAAATAGAAAATGCAGAGAGTCTCAAAGAAAACTCCTTTTAATGATGAGCACTGCTGTTCAAGGAATATACTAAACCATGAATACCACTAAACAAATATCTGCCACAGCATCATTTCACTAAGATTTTGGCTATCAAATTTCTGGAATAATTTGACTACGTCAAAGAATTCAAATTGGAAAAAAAAAAAAAATCACAGGTATTTATCTTACTAAATGAAACTCAGCTATGCATATATGGGTAGCTTGTAGTGACTATAGATAATTTTTACTACAGCTTTTGAAGTCAAAGTATTGCTATAATAAGCCAGTACTGGGACAGTTCAGTTATTTCCAGTGCACAACCATTATAACCCAGCTCACATTTATTAACGTGTGTAATCCAACTGATGTCAATTGGACTAACACATAACAAACGTACAAATATTTACAAGAACAGGTTCTTAAGTCTTTGTACTGATACAGAGTTGACAGCTTTCCTTATGTATGTACTTGTCAAAATGTGTAATTTACCTATGAAATAAGCAACTTTGTAGTTAAGCAAAATTCTGAAGAATTAAAAGCAGAAAGTTTAATTTCATGGTTATATTTATTAATGCAATATTCACCATGCCAGTGGAAGTGATATAATATTTGTACAAAAAACTCGTTAACTGCAAAAACCTACTTTTATTATTCAACTTCCTCTCACAAACGGATTAATTCTATAAAGTGTATATGGGCCCAGAATACAATTAACTACTTTTATTCAAGCAGTTGAGTTTGTAAAGAAGCAGCTGCCTGATTCCACCTTTGGATTCTCAAGGGAACACAGTTCCTCTACTGAGTAAGAACCAAAATTACTTAACCCTGTATTGAAAACAAGTGCACTCTGCGTTACTGGGATTCAATAATAGGAGAAAGGTAAAACTTGTCAAGCACAGCTCCTTGCTCATTTACAAGGGAGGTAGAATGGATTCAGCACATAAATCTTGCTACAAAGTTTATGCAATCAAGTTTATCATTAGCACCTCCTTCCTCACCTGCTGAAATCTTTCTCTGTCTCCAATTCCTCTTCTCCATGACCCAGACGCAGGAGGTGGCGCTCATCAATGTCTAGGGCCATGATTTTTTCAAACAGCTGGTTCAAGGCCTAAAGATTGACAAGAACAGGAGAAAAGGTAGTTTTTAGAAATTCAGAGGCTCTTGCAGAGGAAAACTGAAGAATTAGTGGTAAGCCAGCTAGGAAATTATGCCTATTTTGGTATAAATGGAAGCCAAAGCAAACATGAAGTTAATACTGAAACTAGAGCTCTTAACCTTGACAAGAAGGGAATTAGCCTACTAAAATGCTTGTATTTGCATACTTCATATAACAATTAAATTTTATTTTATGATTTTGAAACAATTTTAAGATTTGATTCTATCACATAGTTAATTTAGTTGATAAAGCTATTAGTTTATAAAACTGTCCCAAGAAGCACACTTTGCAAACATTGATTTTGTTGAATGACTTTAAACCATTTAACTTTTACTGTACATTAGAAGAGTGTGATCTGGTACTGACTGGCAGGTGCTGAGACTCTATTCCATACGGATAAGTAAGTTTTGCTGAACTAAACTTCAAGGTGTGCTATGTCTCCTGCCTTAAACTCTTCAATTCCCTAACAGCTTAATATCAACTGTCCAATTCAGTGTTTTTCAAAGGATTAAGTTTGTAAACACTGGATCATCAAATAATGAAACTAAGAATAAACATGAGCAAGCTCCACCTGAACTTCAAGTCTGCTGGAAGTCATGCAAAAAATGTAACAAGTACAGCATCAACGCATAGGGAACAAAACCTGCTGAGATATCATTTATTTCCTGAACTGCAATTGAAGTTCATGTTCTCACATAAGTCTTGTCTGGCAAGAAGAGTCTCCTACCTGCCTTGAATTATTTCCTTCCTTTTCTCCTCAACGGACATGCTCTCAACCCTTTCTCTCAATTTCACTACCTGTTACTCTCCCGCAACCCACTGTACACTAGCCTATAATATTTCAGGTTGTAACTCCTCACCAAAATGAAGCCCCATCCACCATTCTTTGATCAACAGCCTAAGTGCCTGATCTTGCTTTGATGGAAAAAGATGAAAAGTTTTCAAAGCTGTATGTTCAGTTAAAATAGCTCATAACTGAGCTAGGCTAGGCTAATTAGGGAGACCAGGAAATAGATGACCCTGGTTTCCAAACAAATCCTTCCAAACCAGATGCAGATTTAGAGTAAGAATCTTTCAGACTTTTACCATTATTATTCTTATTTTATATATGCTTGAGAATTAAGAGGCAGACTCCATTTCTTATGAATGGGAAGCAAGCATTCAGCTGAAGAGGCCTTCCCTTAAAAGCATGAAGCACAGAGTCTGAGAAAGCTAGTTAGCAAAAATCTGGCTTGCATGCAGTGAATGTGCAACTGTAAGAACTATGCAGATACTTTTTCAAAATACTTCCTAATTTCTATCCCCAACCAGTTAAATATATTGAAAACTTCTCATAAATTGCTCAGAACTACAAACATTATGAAACTGGCAAAATTGCACACAAGCCAACTCAAGTTTTCATTGTTAAGAGACAGTTGCAATTGCCAAACTACTGATCTCAATATCTGCTGTTGTTCTTGGTTTTAATTACAGGAAAATTTCGTACATGACTGACACTTTACCTGATTAGAGTGGGTAACTATAAGAGTTCGTTGTTCTGGGAAATTATGATAAAGATTGGATATTATCTGGACTGCTACATCAGTTTTTCCAGTACCAGGTGGACCCACTACCTAAAAAACAAACAAATTGTTGTCAAAATATCAACACACAATTTATCAGAATATTGCACAATACAGAAATATAGCCAGCTGGGAAAAAACCAGAACAATCTCAAGACACTGACATCATATATTACAAACAACAAAAAAAATCTGTTTCATGTACAATTTCTTGCTGGCTTCTGTGAATTTCAAGAACACATACATATACCATGAAAGACTTAGCCCAATGCTAATGCAGATTCCTGCCTAAGAGGAATATGGTAATCCAGCATATGAAGTACTATTTTGTTTCACAAGCCATGAAAACAGACCTCCTCAGAAAAAAAAGGCTTTTTAACCTCAGGACAGCCTAAACATAGGGGAAATAGTGAAAAGAGCATCAAAACACACGATTGCAAAAAAAGTAAGTCAAGGCAGATGTAAAGAACAGAAAAAAAAGAGTCCAATCTTTTTATTTACTCAGAAAATCTACAACTGATGATATAGAAATAATACTGACAACTAATGGGTTTATAGGCTTAATTATACCAATAACATTCCAAAATTGACACCTGAGACATTTTAAAAGTATCCAAGTATTATAAAGCATCTCAAAGTAATTTGCTCAGCATTAAGCAGCACAGAATAGCAGGTTTCATATGTATCAAGACATAAAATTACGAATTGCTATGAAATCACGCTTGCTTTATTTAATGAATCTCATTGATCACTGGATTCAAAAGCAAGTAAGATTGTAATTCTCAAAAATATTAGACAGAAATACATGACATAATGACAGAAAATAAAACATAGGCCTGTATTATGTAACTGTTTTATCAGTCTGCCTTCTTTCCCTGAAAAAAAGTGGGTGATGCAATAAGAAAAAAAAAAAAATCAGAAATACATCCTCAAAAACAAAAAGCTGACTTCATCACTGGTTTTTGACCTAACATTCATAACATTTTTGACCTCTCATTCTAACCTCTTAAAACATAAACAAATTCAGTTTTAGTAGAAAAGTTCAAATTATATAAACGAACATCATCTCAAATATTTATGAAAGCTGGAGTACCAGGCACAGGAAGTTACTTTTCTTCTTTAAAGCCCTCCAAAAGTGAGGTAGATGGTAGTTTATAATGCATTATACGAGATACACATGATACTAATGAACAGTATGCAATACTATTAAAAAAAAAAGACAAAATAAAAACTAGGTAACTTAGAGACCCCCTTTGTGTCTTAATTATACACTACAAAATGGTGATAAAGATTTTAATTTCCCAATCTTCTTTCTTATTGACAATGCTACTGATATAAAACAACACTCCTATACACCAGTGTGGGTATCTTAGACAAACACTCTAATTATGTAAAACCCAGCAGTTCAAATCATTCCAAAAAACCCCTTCCAACATTCTTTAATAACCATATTTAAAGCATCTATCACCGTGGCATTTTCACAGCATTCAAAAAAAGAGCTTTCATTTCTAAATAGACCTTAACATTGATACTCTATAACAGCCAGAAAGTTCTGCTGCGTTCTACTAGAAAACATACTACACTCAAAAACACTGCCAAGAACTCAGGCAACATTTACAACGCTACTAATTTCAGCACACTTAGGCAGGCAGGGACAAAAGGCATACAATTCTAATGAAGTTTATTTTTTCCTTTGCCTTTTATCTTTTGTGTGCTAGCTACAGAGTGTATAGGGAGTGGTAAAACATAAGGAGGAAGGGGAGGAGGAAGAGTATGGTACTAATGAATACCAATACAAAAACCTAAAAATTAGCATTACTGCCTATATAGAGCAAGAAGAAATTAGGAGTATCAGAGAAAAGTCATTCAGATATTCCACTGAGTCACTACCAGGATAGACTGTACTTCATTGGGAGACAGGTACTTGTAGTCAAAGTCTAACTGAGAGTGGTAAACCTTAATGACCTTTGCAGAAACTCACTGATCAGAAATTATTTTCATAACAAATCTACACCTTTGGTTTGGTTTGCAACTTCTTAGTTCTAGAATTCAATACGATATAAAGGATTGCACATTACATTTCACAAGACAGCAGAAAAAAGCTCCCTGAAGACAATTCAGTGACTTTCATTTCCTTTAACGGAGTTAGATCGAACAAAAATGATGCAAGTAATTTAAAACAGCTAAAAACAGCAGACGTGGCAAGAGCTCTACAGTCTAAAACTAGCAATCCAACCACTGAAAAAGTAAATTCAGTTGTTGTGGAAAGTCTTCAGCCATGAAACACAGAATACTGTTATACAGAGATCAAATGTGTTTCTGTATGATTTTGTGAAGATGGGAGGATGTTAATTTTCCATATTTTTAAACTATTAATAGAAGTAACCTCAGGAAGGCTACAGAAATAGGCATTACTGGTATTTCACTGAATGTACCTAAAGCCAGAAGCAAATAAATTAGAGTATAAAATCCTTAAAAATATTCTTACCATAGTCAACCCAGGCTGCATTCCTGCACGTATAGCTTCAATCTGAGTATGGGTAAATTGAATTGTATTGCTGTAACAACGCAAAACAGGAACAGAGAATTGATAGATTTTGCCAACTGTTTTGATAAAAGAAATTGTTTTAACAAGTTTGATTTAAATTCATTGGCTACAAGTTTCTCCAGAACTACATGCTTGCAAACTCTTATATAAATTAAACCAATATTAAAACTACCTTTATAGACATGGCAATCTTGCAATTTCTAAGCAAGACAGTAAATCACGTTGGTCAGGTGACAACAAAATCATCCCATTGAAAAGACTGTCTTTAGTTATTATTTGCTCAGAATGCTGTCAAATTATTTAGGTATGATTCTCCTAATATTCAAAGTCTTGACACAATACTAAGAGACAGTATTTCTCATTGTTCTTCAAGGAAATTTTTTCACAGAGAGGGAATAATAGAATAGTTTGATTTAAATATAAACCAAAACAGCCTCATATTCAAGTCTTCTTTTGGTAATGAAATCAAAATGATATTCTGTTTACAATCAACAACATTATTTTTTAAGTATTTCTGAAAATTAACTACTATGCATGTATCACCATTTGTAAACAAGTTCTCATCCATTTATTACCGTTTTGGTTGATTATATGGATATGGTCCCCTGTTTGGAATGACATGAGGCTCTACAATCAGTGTTTTAGCTTCTTCAGGTTTTTCTTCATTCCCATCCTCTTTTCTTTTCTTTCCTTTGCCTCCCTTTATTGGGAAAGTTATCCTGTAACACATAATTTAAGACTACACTTCAACACGTTCACTATGATACCAGACTGTCTTACAAGTTTATACAAAAAGATTTTTTTGTCCCCATTAAGACAAACTTTCATACAATAGGGAAACAAGAGTTGCAAACAACGAGTATTAATGAGGATAAGGAAAAGAATAACAAATAAACTGATGAAGCTGATTTTAAGAAAGCATATTTGACAAAAAGTATATCAAAAGTGCTCTTTTTGAAAATCTAGGAGCAGTGCTGAGAACCAGCTGGAAAAACACTGGAGGCAAAGAGTTCAGAAATGAAAATGGAAGGGACAGGAGTAAAGTTATAGTATAAAGCCACCAGCACTGTATATTCAGCAGTAATAACTTCAGTTTGTTCTAGAACTGATGCACACTTTTTTTTAAACACAGAAGATATGTTAATGTTCTAAACTGCTCTAGCACATGAAGCCTTTTATCTTCCCATTTCAATTTTTTTTGTAGCCCTCTGTAGCATGTTAGCAAGCTTCTCTAATTCAGAAACAAATCACAGTGAAGGAATTCCAATGGCTATCCAATTATCTTGAGACAACAATGCAGACATCTTTAACAGCAATAATTTCTTAGTCTCTCTACAGGACAAATGCAGAAGTAGGAAGAGCAATAGCTCTTCATAAATAGGAATATCTGTATTTTAATCTATGAACTGAAAATGAACACTAGGTCATTGAGGGAAATTGTGTGTGGTATCTTGTCTTGATACCTTCAGACTATTTTTATATCATCTTATAGTGTTAGTGTCTTCTCCACACATATTCTACATCCAGTGTTTCAAAAAAAGCATGGAAGATTACCTCCCTGCTTTTCAAGATTCAATTTGGCCATGGTAAGAGCTGACTTGTGTGGGAAGGGGAAGGAAGCCATCTTTTCGCCCCAGTCAAAACTACTCCTTCAAAAGGAAACATATTTCAATCCTCATTAACTTGTAAGGGAAAAGAGATATAGTTTCTTCAGTCCAGCTGAAGAAACTATTCTCCAATGCTATGCACTGTTAAACTCAGTTGCTGAAGTCTTTTTCTTAAAAGAAAGAGAACATCCCTTCAACAACTGAACTCAACTCCACTTGACAACACACTTCAGCAAGAATATCAAGCCAGCAGTATTTGAAATTTTGAGATCACCTGAAGGGGGGTATTTGCAGAACAGGATTGTCAACAGTCACTTTAATGTTGTATCCAGGAAAGCTAGCTTTTAAGTGATCAATGGACAGGAAAGTGTCATTAAAATCCAGAGTTGCAATCTGATTTGGCATTTTTGAATAGTGTGCACTGCTTGGATCTCCATATCCAAGAATGATGTCATGTAGCCAGTCAGGAACAACACAATCTGTGTTCATCAAATTCCTAATAGTCTCCAGAACAGCCTGCAAATCAGAAAAATAGAAAAAAATATGATTGGAGAGATTGACTTTTTACCAAGAAAACATGAGATACTGAAGACTAATCAAGTCTATTCTAAGATGCTAGCATACAACAGTCTTTAACTGACAGGTGTTTGGTTAGATGGAGTCAATATATATAGTGTATATATGCAACAAAACACTAGTGTCAAACTATATAGTTCTTAAAGAGGACCATAATCATCAGTAAAGTTTTCATTCCAGAACACTCGGGGGGGGGGGCGGGGGCATAAAAGACCTTCATTCAGCTTAACATTTCTCTTTTAACCCTATAAATTTCATCCCTGCAGCCAGCTTAAGTTTCCCTCCAAAAGCTTGCTCTTCATTCCCAAACTAATCTCTCTACTCATCTGCGATTATGACAGTATCTTCTCTCCTTTCTCCCTCCCATGAAAACACAGTGCCTCAGACCCTGGGCTTGCACAGGGTGTGTGCATTTTAACTAGGAGGTAGCTGAACTTTAGCCTTCCTGTTAAAGGGCTACTTCAGTGGCAAGTCTTCCAACAACCACCGTACTTGAAACTTGGTATTAGGACCCTCTGCTCTTCAGCAGAAGAAACACAGGATCTGAAATCTGCACTGATTTCCAGATCCTCCAACTTACTACACTAACAAACATGGACACAAATGGATGTCAAAGATAGGGCATCAGCAGTCCAGACCAGGATATAATACACATCTTCCAAATGCCAATCTTGTAAAGAATAGTCAGCCAAAACAAAGTATGGAATTTTATTCTGATAGTCTAAATTTACGTATCCAGCTCCAAAGGGTAGGATTCTCTGTGCTTTTCTTGCTTGTGTTGTATCATTCAAGGAATCAAAGTAATGTGATCATCATTCCTGCTTAAGCAGTCAACCTCTATAAAGGTTCTGATTCTTCCCCTCTACTCAGCATGGGTGAGACCATATCTGGAGTGCGGTGTCCAATGCTGGGCTCCTCAGGACAGAAGACAGACATACTGGAATGAGTCCAGCAAAGGGCCACTAAGATGACTCAAGGGGTGGTGAAGAATTTTATCAGTCTGTATAAAAAAATAAAAAAAATGGGAGGAATTAATGACAATGGACCCAGGCTCCTCTCAGTAGTGCCCTGTGAAAGGACAGGAGGCAATGGACACAAATTGAGATACAGGAAATTCCACTTAAATACATGAAAAAGTTTTTCCTGTATGGGTAACTAAACACTGGAACAGGTTATACAGTCTCCATCACTAGAGATATCCAATTCCAACTGTTCAAAGTCACAAGATCTTGACCAACTTGTTCTAGCTGACTCTGGTTTCAGCAGGGCTTGGACTAGATCATCTCTAGAGGTCCCTCCAACCTCAACCATTCTGTAAATCTGTAATTCTGTTCCCTCCAATCTCAGCCACGCTGTGGATTCTGTGATAGCTCTATAAAGTTATTAACTCAAAGGCAACTTAGCACTATAAAATTTATGATTAATGTAAAGTTATATGCTCCGTCCTTCCCTTATTTAAAAAGGGTGCTTGATTGTCCAACAGTAGAATGGCTCCTGCCATTTCAAATTTAATTCTCGTACCAAGGAAACATATCATAGCAGGTCTGTCCTTGTACAGGAACCTCTGGATAGTCAAATTGCCAGCTGTTAGAAGAATTGAACCTGTGTGGGATAATACAGCTGGCATAAAGTATCACTGTGACACAAAGTATACTCTGAAGCTCAGCCCCATTTTATAATAAAGGGGATGGCTCAAAGTATCTTACCTGATGCCTACAAGCCACTGCAGAAACCTCCTCTCCCTTTGGCTCTCCAAGGCACGTAGTTTATTTCTTCTTGCTCTTGGTCTTACAAACATTTTAGTATGTGACCTGCAGGACCAGAGAGGTCCTGCACTTAATTTCTGAAGCCTGAAGGTTCTCCAATTACTTCAAAGGCCCAAGATATACTGATGGACGAGTCCCATATTAACTAAGAATATTTATATTTTTGTTGCAAATATAAAACAAGCGTTTCCAGCTTAAATGTACATTAAGCATAGCGTAATAAATTTGTGCTAAGAAAAGCACAAATAAATTGAAAAATGTGGCTTCTTCAGGTAGCATTTCTAAATCTAAATGATCAGTTTTTCAGAGGAAAGTTTAAGAAATATGTCCCTAACAGCTAATGTGCTGTTTTTACACCACAAAAACTTCACTTCAGCTTTTCAAAAGTAACACGTATACATGTAAAAATAGTAAGATTAGTTCTTATAAGAACTAACACTGCTGACCAACTGTAGTGACATAGTGGTGTCACCTCCAGCAAACACATTGTATTTGCGCTTCCCCTGCAGTCTCATCTGCTTAATTTACTAAGACTGCACAAGAGTTCTGTTGTCTTCTCTCCTACAAGCTCAGCTTAAAACTTCAAGCTGCCTTCTATCTGCTCAATACACTATCAACACTAATCACAGTGATACCTTGTTTTCTTTTATCCAGCTGCAGTTAGAAGGGTATGCAAATGACATGGAACACTTGCACCCAAACTGGTAGCAATGCAATAGATCTGGAAATATCTTAGTTTGTCTTGACAAATGAATACATGATTCTTAAGTAAAAACCAGCATAGAATGGTCTGCATTGCGATTTGCCTGTAAATTAGCTGCAAGCACACAGTACAAATTTGAAAGCTACACTCACATCTAACAGTAATGCTGAGCAAGCTTAAGTATTCACTGCAGCACTTTCCTTCTGACTACACAAAAGAGCATACATACGTGAATAAAAAACACGTCTATAGTGCTGGCACACCAACAGGCTTTGGCTGAGAGCACTTGTGCTTATAATGTAAAATGAACCTGCCGCAGATGCATAACATTAAAAAAACCAACCCAGAACTGATTGTTAATGTAAAGTTATAAAGGACTCTGTGAAGTACTTCCACTGTACCAATCCACAGCTGGATGGCACCAGAATGCTCTGTGCAGACTGCAAGCTATTGTTTTACACTAGATGCGTCTTTCCAAATTCAGGAAAGAAAAAGTCACAAGCCTTCCTGCCTCCCTCTTTATCCATCTGCACAGAACTTGCTGCAGAATCCTTTAAAATGAAAATCACTTCAGTTATGCAATGCATGATTTTAAGGCACCAAAAGAAAAGCAGTTTTTTGTTCATGTTGCATTTTCATAATGGAAAACTCAAGCAACATTAAGGATTCAAAGGTCTAAATGATCTAACAGCAAAGAAACTAAGCACGCATACAAGAAATATTTTCAGGTATACAAAATTATGTACCCTCACAGCAAAAAAGGCCAACAGTAGCTTGTGCTGCTTTAGGAAGTTGCCAGCAGGTCAAGGGAGGTGCTCCTTCCTCTCTGCTCGGCACTGTTGAGGCTGAATCATAGCATCATAGAATGGTTTGGGTTGGAAGTGAGCTTTAAAGGTCATCTAGTCCAACCCCCCTGCATTGAGCAGGGACATCTTCAACTAGATCAGGTTGCTCAGAGCCCCATCCAACCTGACTTTGAATGTTTCCACAGACACGGTATCTACCACCTCTCCAGGCAACCTGTTCCAGTGTTTCAATGTTCATCGTAAAAAATTTCTTCCTTCTATCTAGCCCGAATCTACCCTCTTTCAGTTTAAAACTATTATCTCTTGTCTACCACAACAAGCCCTGCTAAAAAGTCTGTCCCCATCTTTCTTGTAAGCCCCCCTTAAGTAGTGAAAGGCCACAATAAGGTCTCCCCAGACCCTTCTCTTCTCCAGGCTAAGCAACATTAACTCTCAGCCTTTCATCATAGGAGTGGTGTTCCAGCCCTCTGATCATTTTTGTGGCCCTCCTGTGGACCCGCTCCGACAGGTCCACGTCTTTCTTGTACTGAGGACTCCAGAGCTGAACACAGTACTGCAGGTGGGGTCTCACCAGAGCGGAGCAGAGGGGCAGAATCACCTCCCTCAACCTGCTGGCCATGCTTCTTTTGATGCAGCCCAGGATACGGCTGGCTTTCTGGGCTGCAAGCACACGTTGGTGGCTCATGTCCAGCTTTTCATCCACCAGTACCCCAAAGTACTTCTCTGCAGGGCTGCTCTCAAATCCCTTCACCCCCAGCCTGTATTGCTACTGGGGGTTGCCCTGTCCCAAGTGCAGGACCTTGCACTTAGCCTTGTTGAACCTCATGAGGTTCACATGGGCCCACTTCTCAAGCTTCTCCAGGTTCCTCTGAATTGCATACTAACCCTGAATCTGGAGCACTGTGTGCAGTTCTAGGGTCCTCAATAAAAAAAAAAAAGACATGGAGTTATTGGAGCGAGTCCAGTGCAAGGGCCACAATGATGATTAGGGGACTGGAGCATCTTTCACATAAGAAGAGGTCAAGAGAGCTGAGACTGTTCAGCCTGGAAAAGAGACGGCTCGGGGTATCGTATCAATGTGATAAATACCTGATAGGAGGAAATGAAGATGAAGGAGCCAGACTCTTCCCAGTAGTGTCCAGCGACAGGACAGGAGACAATGGGCACAAATTAACAGACATTAAATTCCATCTGAACACAAGAAAACACTTTTTTTACTGTGAGGACAATTCAGCACCAGAAGAGGCTGCCCAGAGAAGTTTTGGATTCTTAATTCTTGGAGATATTAAAAACCCAACTAGACATGGTCCTGGACAGCCTGCCGCAGGTGACTCTGCTTGAGCAGGGGGCTTGGACTAGATCTCCAGAGTTGCCTTGCAACCTAAATGATTCTATGATTCTGTAATTATGCCACCTGATCAAAAAAGTTTACTAAGGGCAACACAGACCACTTGGCCAAAGTTAAGTTTATGTCAATTCACAATTCTAGAAACGCATACACACATTTCAACTTTCCTGGAAAACTTTCCTCTTCTTGCTTTAACAGAGGGTAAGGAAAGCTAAGGTATTGATAAGCTTCCTGAAAAACAGCATTTGTTGAATTTATTTGCAAAACTGAATTAATGTTGTGTGCATAATTTTGATATTACTTATAGGCAATATACAGTATCATAAAGCATTAGCAACAGGTTTATTTTGAACTCTGACCAAATTACTCGAAGGCTCTCCTGACAATGAATACCCAAGGAAGTAAAACGCTAAAGAATCATGCACTGCAGCTGTGTGAAAAGTGTTAGGGCAGGAAAAAAAAGCACCATTCAATCTACAAAGCTCCAGTTAGCATACAATATCTGTAAGGACTATCAAATGTATCAGTGCTAAAAAAATCTCATCTGACCTCCTCTAAAGCCCAGTAAGAAACTGATACAGTGATGCTCCCAAAAGCTAACAGGTTTCTCTGGTTTTCACCTTTTGACTAGTTACTCCTCCTTTTCCTACAGTCCACTATTACATCAGGTAACACAAACATTCCACATACTCCCTCAATCCTCAAAAAGGGCAAATACAGCTAATCAGTAGGCTACCTGTTAAAAGACTGAAATTATAAACTATTGTTTTATTATATACTCAAGTGAAGTAGGAGTGTTCTGATTTCCAGTTACTTCAACACTTACCTGCAGGGGGAAGTTATCACCAGCTGAAATGCTCTAACTTCCTGAAGTGATCCAACATGACCTAAGAAGCCTAACTACATGCATCTAAAATGACCATGTCTCAGTACTGCTGGCATATTCCAACGAACTCTTATCCTAAGAGTCAATGAGCAAGTACTTTACCTTGAAATTGTTTTCTTTTGGTTTTCTTCTCATTATTATATTAAATGTCTCATAAACATCTTCTGCTCCATTTTGGATTGTATTGGTCATGTCTTGTTGATACTGGTTTGGGTCCAGAAATACTCTGTATGTTCGGCAATCCCCTTTAAGCCTTGGTTTGGGTTCAGGTCCTGCCCATAATGAAACAGTAAGATTAGAATTTGAAGGAGTGCTAAAAGCAGACTATCATTCAAATAAGTGATCCGTAATTGTTCCTGAAATGAAATTTAGAAAAATTCATATGATGAAAGTAATTTCTGCATGGTGTTACAAACATTCTTATTTCATGTTTTCATCCCATTTCTAATAGGAGTTCTTGAATATAAGCTATTTTATTCCTAAAACCAAAGTGTCCTGGATTTATTTAATTAATCTAATTACATCAGATTTTACCAGAGGAAACTAGTTAACCTTTCTCAGGCTGCTTATGGAACTGGTTTGTTCAGTTTGTACTTTTTTCAAGTAGGTAATGAATTCAATGAGCATTGCTTAAAAGAGAAGCAAGTCAATGATTAGGCTGTTAAGAACAACAACAACAAAAAGAAAAAAAAAACCCAAACTTTCAAACAAGTTTTGGTATATCATACCTTCTTCAATAACACGTCCTTTCTCATCCAACATGCCCTGGATTTCACAGCCTCTGACATATACCAGGCCAGTTTGCTCAACAAAAGGTCGTCGTCGGTCAAACTTGGTGCCATAAGGTTGCGTGGGACGTACCGTAATCAAAAAGCAGACATCATGTTTACGCAGACCTGATTCCAAAAAGGAACATTCAGTGATTTGATTGAATGCCATTTTCCTTATCCATTCCTTAATATATATACAATAGAATACACAAAAATTTCTTGTAAATAAAACCCCATCCATTTAGGGAATAATGTGTTCCGTTTCAAAACATGCCTATAACTTAGAGGATACAGAACCATAGGATGTTGTAATCTTTTCAACTATTCCTGCATACTAATATCTGTTAGGACTTCGGATATGACAAGGAGAAATTGTCTGCTTTTTTTCAAGAAAACAAACTTAAAATTTTATTTCAAGATTATTCTTCTCCCAATAATCTTACTTCGGTTACACAACCTATATATTTTTCAGTCCTATCTCAAAAGTAGTGTGTCATTAATCTCTTATTCTCATTGCTTTCTTCTGGACTAACCTTCACTTTTTTTTTTTACAACAATTTTAAGTGCAGTGCCTAGAACTGAGCACAACATCAGGGTAAAAGGTCACTTAAACAAGTTACTTGTTTTCCATGCTACATTCCAGTTCATAAATCCTGATATGACTTGATTGAGCATTTTAATTTTCCCCTCAGCAGTAATGTGTTGCTATGGAGTCACATTTGCTTTTGAGCGATGGTGACCCCAAACTCTTTTCATTCTGCAGAGCTACTGCCTAACAAGTTATTCCCCCAACATGCATTCGTGCAGTGACTTGCTCTTGCTTAAGCTTAGCATCTTAATATTCACCCTTGTTGAACTACATCCTACTTTTAAAATGCAATTTTTCCAATTCACTAATATAATTTTGAACACTAATCCTTTTCTCCAGTACACCTACAGATTCTCACAGATGTAAGACACCTTCAAAATTTAGTAAACACATGCTGTATTTTTCACACAAGACAAGTGATTTTTCATCATGCACCAGATATTATCCAACCTAAAGCGGTTTCATCAAGACTTTGTATGTTAAACAATGATTCATGAATTCTTCACCTCAGTTTCGATTAAGTTAAAGCATTACTGCTTTTGAAATCACAGAGGGTGTTCAAAAGCTAGATGCACCACTATATAGCTACCTGCAGTATAGCAAAGTCTGCTGCCATCCTCCTAGCTTTACTACTTTAATAGAAATCTACATTCTCAAACTTGTATCTGTTTATTTATCAGACTCCCCAGCTTTAGCATTTGTGCTACGTGACCTGTAATCACACTATGCAGCTCCAGCACATTTAACAGGTTTCTCTAACAAAAGAGAAGGGAGTGACATTTACTGATAATCCAAGTACAAGTACATGCTTCTGTGCCACTTGCCAACACGGTCAACTAAAGTTCAACTCCCCAAGCAAAAGAAGTGTCGCCTGTAGATACTTATAAGAAACAGTATTCGGTACAGTCAGCACTTCCTAACAACATTCAAATATACTGAAAACTACTAAAATGAACTTGTTTGAATTAAATCAAATCTGTCCTCTCCATTTGTATATGAGACAGATAGCCCATTCCCCGCTAATTTTCCAATATGACATTATTAGCATGCATATTAATTTAAAATGCTAAGTTACTTTTCTACATTCCCTGTAAAGGGCAAAATTTTACAGTTAGCAAACTGAGTTACATCAGCCTGAAATAGTAAACATTCTGTTCCCAATGGAAGTATAAATACTTTAATAACTTCAATCTTCACTGTAGGAAAGTATAAACTTCTTGGACTTGGGAGTTTGAGTAACTGACTTTTAAAGAGTGTATTAAGATTGGCAAATCTGTAACACATTAAAAACAAACAAACTTTCTTACAAAAAAAGATTACATCAAAGTGTATTTTGATGAGCACCTATTTTGAGCCCCTTATTTCAAAGAACGTAAGTACCTTCCCATTCATCTTTGATGTTATCTCGGACATTCAAATTAATTGTAACATCTGCTCGTACTCGCATGGGCCAGTTTTCACCAATATTGGGTTTTGCCACCTCCACCACTGTGAAAGAGACAATGGGTTGTGCCATCCTAGCCCATCCACCAAAGACCACACCTCCATATTCCGATAACCTAAAAAAGCCACCACCAACAACAAAAAAAACAAACACCAAAGTTTTGTTAGTCATTATCTGATAACAGATTCAGTTCTTTTTTTAAACTGTGAAACAATTTACTTCACAGTCAGCTCTAAGACAAAAGTAGAAGTCTTAATTTTTCATGCTACTGAAGAACATTCACATAATCCTGCATTTTAGAACTGAAGCATAACATGAAGTGACTTATATTTCAAGAAACAACGGCAACTTATGCTGGCATTAAACAAACAAAAACTGACAAACCCCTCACAGAGAGAGAAGAAAAAGGGAAGATGACAAAAAAGCAACTACTGAGTATGAGAGACATCACACCAAATGATCCCTTGAAATCTAAAGAGGATCAAAAGGCAGCAGGTAGCAAATTTAAGAGTACTCAGTAACACCTCACATAAACCAGAAGAATTGGTGGTAAGTTTCCAGATTTTATAATCTCAGCCAAGGCTTAGTACTTTTGGAAAACTAACTCACCCATCTTAACACAACAAAGGTTGGTGGTTAGCATCCAACATACTGTCTTAACACATCTTCAGGGATGCGTATCGACAGACCCTTACAAAATCATCCCACAGGATGGCAACACCTTATGGAAGAAGTTAGTATAAAACATACTATCTAGATAATAATTTAAAATGCATTTGTTACTATGTATTTAGTTTACACACAATATCAGTTATTCATTCTTGAATGCACTTTGATTACAACTGAAATTGAACTGACTGGTTTGCATCAGTTAATAAATATTACCATGGTTTCATCCTACTGACACTATCTTCAATGTCTTGTCTAATCTCGTAGGTAGACTCTAAGCGGAAAAGATTGAAGTTCCTCAGCAGGTAGTCATGAAGAGTCAGAAACTGCAGATTCAATTTGGGAAGTGCAAGACAGCCTAAGGGGGTAAGGGTGGAAGGAAAGAGGTATTTGATGGATAAAACAAAACGAAAGTGAATTAATATATTGGTTCTACAAATTCATGTATACATAAACACATTATTCTATAACTGCCATAGTTGTTATCCTGGGAGATTCTAAGAAATACTCCTTTTATAAATATACACCGCTAAAAAGCACACATTTTTCAGGTTCTCTCTAAATGAACCTGCATAAGATTAAAGGAATTTTCATCCTTCTGGCAGTAATACAGTGAACTATTTAAAAACTGAATCCTTCCCTGTATTCAGACTACAATAAAATTGATTTTTATAAAATCAAATGTAGGGCAAAGTAATGGTACTTTGGGAATGCAACAATTAAACCAGCATTAAGTAATGATGAAAAAGGCTCAGTAACTAATAAAACCCATGCATTATCCAACAATTCCCTAATTCCAATCCTTTACGTTTATTAGAAGCCATGAAAACCATTAATGTAGAAAAGTTTTAAGCCAAGAAATCAAATTTTAATACACAACTTTTGAGGAAAGTTTCTGTTCTGATTATAGATTTTTTTTTTTTTTTTTTCCAAATGAGAATGAAAACCATGGGAAGATTAGATCTAACTAAACAAGGCATATTAAAACTCCTAGACAGGTCCTAAAGCTTGCATAACTTTAGGGTAGTCTTAGAGGTAAATTTTCTGTAAGAAAAATTCTTATATGGTAGTCATTTAACATTACTGGACTAATGTTCCAGTTTGACACCTATGCTTAAGATCTGTGAAAGCATCAGGCTTTTGTAACTTGCAGTATTATCCTTGAAACCTTTCACTGGCATATGTACTACATATTGGCTTTCACATGCACTGAGATACAATGGCAGTGAAGAAGGGCTGTAGAGCACAGCAATTTCTATTCTGGAAAGCCTCATGGTGATAAAATACCTTAACACATTTGCCAAGACCAAGTAACAAACCCTGTCCTGTAAAGGTAGTTATATGCATAAGGGGCAGGGCCTGAAGCAATACCTCTTTAAGGCTGCACAGCATTTATCAGACATATATTCTTCTTCCCTCATTTTTAAAAAGAAAATAGAAACAATACTCCTACCTTTTTTGGGCTAAATTATTACTCTTATTTAAATTTTAGACCAAAAGAATTTAGCTACTTTAAGAACACAAAAAACCCAAGACCACGAAAACAAAACTGTCTTGTTTGAAATCAGGGCTGGAGAATACATGGAGATTAAAAAGAGAAAGAGTAAACTGAAACTAAGAGAAGCAAAATAGAAAAATACTTGTAACAGTCTGACAGCAACAGAAATGCTTCACAACAGTGCTGTCAATACACCAATAATAATAGCAAGAATTCACCCCAGAAGGAGGAAATGTGTTTCTACTAGCAACTGCTGTTACTTGCCAAAATTACATTTCACCATTAATAAAATTTCTTCAATGCATTATGAAAAAGTCTCAAAACAGCACAGACACAGGTGTGATAAGCTGCTTTTTCTCTCCCCCCCACCCCCAGCAATAATACATATACTGTGATTAATATATTTGGCTAATAAAACACGAAATAAACACACAGTGCATGAACAAGTTAAGTACTGCAAAGTCAGCCTTCCAATATGGTCTGAATGACAGTAAAGCTACCTTGACTTGTATTTAAGAACCTGAATGTTCTAGACCATTAGAACAACCTGTATGTTGTTCACTGAAATAAAAAATTAAATTTATTTTATATATCGATTTCCTAGAAATTACAGCAAGGACCCTGTTTTGGTGGGTTTTTGTGGGTTTTTTTGTTCTGGTTTTGTTTTTTCTTTTGGGTTTTGGGTGAGGGTTTTTTTTTGGGGGGGGGGGGTCTGTTTTTTGTTGTTTTGTTTTTAGGGTTTTTTTTAAAGGATAAATCCCATCAGGAGACCTATTATTCAGAAGAATCTGAATCAGCTTTTAACTACTTGCATCATACTAAACATAAGTACTTTATCTCTTTTTGGGCAGATCTCTAGATGGCATTTGTATCATATCTGTTTGGAAAAAGATCCTTTGTTGCCTAAAACCCCACCCATCTAAAGGAGTCAAATTTAAAAAATCTCTTTCTTCTCATTAGTACTTGTTCACAGAGAATTTATCCAAAAAAACCTATCTAGGCTAAGCAGCTGAACTTGAGGCTTATAACTACAGAAAAGCCCCTCTGAATCAAAACTACATGGAGGAGGGTATGGAATACTCACTGCTCAAACCAGAAACATACTTTATACTAGTCTTTGAAGATATATGTTGTTATTTGGAAATTCCATGTTCCAAATTAAAACTTTCACATTCTTAATGAAAATTGTCATGATCCACATTAAAACAGTTTTTTTTAAAGTAGCTAGACTAAAATACATGTGCTGAGTATTGCAAAGCTTCAAGTTACATCATTCCTTGTTAGCAATACCTGCAGTTTGCTTCCTTGATCATGAGCACATCAAGCAAGAACACTAGATTCTGAATTTAGAGTGCATACACTACCTTTCAGCGACTGTGTACACTTCTACCTTGAAATAAGAGTAAGATAATTAAGTGCTAGTTTCCTCCCATCACCATCCTTATTTTTTTCTTTTTAAAAAGGCTTTCTTGAACATACTTAAGAGCAAAGCACGGACAACAGCTTTTCTGCTGTATGTTTACAACCTGTTTCACCTTACAGTAAGTGTCACACCTGTGTCACAGCTGGTGGTAAAGCACATCTGTTACCCAGATTATAAGCAAATCAATGTCTTTGTGTAAACACAGGCCTTTGGATTTTTCTTTAAATCCACTATAAATTTGCTAACAATTTTATCTCAGAGTTCCTGATTCACAACTCAAAAACAGCTGACCTTACTCTAAGATACTGGAAGATGCCAAAGTACTGCATATAAATTCCAAGGACAGAATGAACATAGATATCAGAACTGCTTTTTTTTCCAGCATTCACTGTTGTGTTCAGTATTTACTAAACTACTAATCATACCTTCTCCAGAATAATATTCAGTTGGTACAATATTTTCATCCCAAATAATCTTCTCTGTGGGATAAAGAGGCATCTGGTTGAGTTGTTGAATTTGAGATATTCGTCGCTCATGACGGGAAACCTAAAGAAAGGATGCATTTTAAACTTCCATAAGTCAAAAAAGGGACAATAAAGCTATTTGTGAAACATACACATTAATTCACAAGACTGCTGGTAGTCCCTTGCCATTTTCTCTCTTTTAATAAGTTTTGTTTTAATTAACTAAATGCACGCAGTGACATCAAAAGGTGAACAAACACATAGTCCAACTATTGGTCATATTACTAGAGTCAAACAATCATTGGCTACTCAGCAAATCAAAAATGGCACAACACAACTGAATATTTTCAGTCAAGGCTTAGCAAAGAATCATCTTCAAATAAAATTTATTTTGCTTTGCATAAAACTTATGGTCAATAGCTAACTAACACTGCTCGTTCAGCAACAGCTAGTCTTAATTCCCTCTTTGAGAGAAAAAAAAATTCCATCCAATACTACCATATGTCATCTAAACAAATCTCTCTCCACGGCATCCATAAGCATCATATTACTACCACCTAAACCTTAGGAAATTACATGAATGATTTTTAAAGACATGAACAACCACAAAATAAGCCTATGAAAAAGATTTTAAAAAACAGCTATGCCGTTCTAACACTGATATCAGATTAGAAGCCTACAGTAATATTGTTATATACTGAATATCCCAAAAAAACATTACGTGCATCAAAGGGTATTTCAAATGGGCTTGAGGAACCAAACAGGTACTGAATATCTAGATCTACTTTAGCAGATTTTTTTGTTTTTAAAGGAGACAAACAGGTTACTACATAAAGAGCAACAACTTTTCCAGAAGAACTCAAAACTGCTGCTGAGACTCTGCTTATTGACCTTTACAATTACACCAAGCACACATGTACTAGTTTCTCAGGAAAACTACATTTATAAGTAAACATTTTCAAATACTTAATTGATATTGTTTTAAACCCCATCTCAGTATGCCATTTACTGCTATAACACTGCTGTGGTTCACAGGTGGTTCCGCAAAAGGTCCTTTACTACAGTGTAGTTGCTAGATGTAGCTATGTCTTGAGTTTGCACAAGGAAAACCACAAGCAATGTTAATTATGTTTTTACCAGCAACTCCAGCAGAAACTCCTTCTCGTAGCTCGAGTCTTCCCCTTCCGGAAGGGGTGGCAGCAGGCAGAGGTATGACGCCACCTGGTGAAGAACATTTGAGCTGCACAGTGGAAGGAAAAACAGAAAGAAGCTTGTGTCACTTACTGGAACCGGGAGAGAGCACTTACCACTCACTGTAGCTTTTACAAAAATAATAAAAAAAAAAAATCCAACTATGAATTTCATCAGAGACCAACAATTACAGATCAGTATTTTAAGGGAAGTTTGAGATATTTAAAATATTCGGGTTTGCAGTTGTTATGAAGTGCTCTAGAGCACTTCCATGAGTGAAGGGTGTTCAGCCACAGGTGTAAGCTGAACCACTCATCTGCAATAAACAGAGCAAGGTGTGAATTTTTTTTGTGGTTTCAAGACATGTACCTGAAAACCGAATCAAACAACAGAGCACATCTGCCTTTGTCAAAATACAGACTCTATCCTTTTAATCACAGCATTTACAATACAGTAGAGTTAATACAGTGGTATACTTTTATGATTTCTGTTGTAGTTTTTGTACACAAGAGTTAAAAAAGCTAAATTTAAAAAGTTAAAGTTTAAGGTAATTACTGCTGCAATTACTTTCAGCAGCTAGCTATTTTCCAGAATTTCAGTACTTTCTCACATTCATTAGAAAAAAAAAGGAAATAAAGATATTTTTCTTATACTGGAGTTCTAGTACTTCACCACTAGTGGACACAACTCTCCTGTCTCCCTATTTCAGCAGGTGTAAAGGCACCATGACAAGTCAAAAAGACCTGAGAAGTCACATGAGAAGTCAGAAAGAAAAAAGGCTAGAAATTTGTTACATTAAAACATACCGAGAACAAAGCATTTCAATTTCACGTTAAATAGCATTTTGATAACTTACCTAAGGGGTCCAAATAACTTCACCAGTGAATCACGAGTATCTACTGCAGCTACATTTGAGAGTGCAAAGTCATATAACTCCGGGAAATGTGCAAATGCTGCTCTCTACAAAAGACCCATACCCCAAAACTGAATGTAGGCATATCAATGAAAAAAATTAATAACAATCTAAATAGTTATAAAAAAGCATAGCTTCTTTGATGCATAACACGTAGCACCCTGTGGACTCTACAAGGACAGAAATAAAAACAAGATGAAATCTCCGTTTTTCTTAGTTAGCACCACCTATTTCTTACTCCTGTGCTTCTGATAGAATATCTTTTTTATACACCCTCCTATCAGCATTTGTTCTGTCATTAAAATAAAACATAAGGGGGAAGACATGTAGCCTTGCAGACAACTAAAAAAAAGCAAGGAACAAGTTTAATTTAACTATGCTTCCCTGAATTTTTTTATTAAAACTGATGGGAAAAATTCTGAAAAGTTTAACTATCTTTATATGACTACAAGTGATGTGAATTTTTATTTTGTCTCTTATGCACTACTGCTACCATATGTGTGTGCTGCTCTTGAAGAAATGGTGCCACCTACTGCATAATCATAAGTTAAGCTCCTACAGCACTTAATTTTCCCTTCTGAATAGATTTAATGGGAGCAGTTCATCTCAACAATATCAAATCAAAAGTGGTGGTGTTTTGCTAGAGTGTATTATTTAGTCATAGTCACATACATAACATCGAAGCGTTAAGTGCCTTCGATATGGTGTAGAAAGTCAAGTTAAAACTATTCCTGTAACTCAACAGGAGAAATAAGGGGTTTGCTTTGGGAAATAACTTAATGCCTATTGCAGATACAAATTAGACTAAACCAACAAAACCAAATCCTTTCCCTCCCATAAGCACTTTGCCATCTGCCTACCTGTAGAGAAGTAATTCTGTCATAGTGAATTGTTGTCATCTCATTCTCCGTCAAAGCATTTCCAGTCTGATCATTGATTTCAAAGCCAGTGTAGAATTTAAGCATATCTAAAAGCTGAGACATCATCCATATAAATTAGTGGATTAACAATACGAGACACCCTACCACAAACAAAAACACAGTTTAAGAGGACAAATCTGGGCACCATGCACAAACAAGAGCTCCTCAAAGTTCTTTAAGAAATGGACTAAGGAGTGGTATCTAAATTTTATACTTGGCTGGGGCACAAAATAATTTTGTTTAGGTATCTCATCTACAACCCATAGAAATTACAGCACAGCCCACAACCAATGCCGTTTCTTTTACATACTAGGACTTGAAACTGAAACTAACTGCACTAAGGTAATCTAGCCAGAGGTTCACTGCAACACTGAACTCAATTTAGGGCTTGCTGCTACCAAAAGGGAGAGGTCTTGCTCCCCCCTGCCCTCTCTGATGCCAGCTCTGGAATTCATCCTACCTTTCAATGATATTATTTAACTCAGAAGAAGAAAATTATTCTGATGTGCTGCTGGCTTTGTGTTCCATCAATACTGACCCTCAGAGAAACTGAACAAATGCCAGAGATGAGGGACAGCAAGCAGCAGGAAAAGCAGCTGAGGTGCAGGTAAGGGGACAGATCTTCAGGTCCTGCCATAAAAACCAATATACTGTCTATGACTGAGTAAACTGAGGGACAGTAGTGAAAAACAACTGCACTGTAAAACAGTCTGAGGTCAAAACGAAGCACAGCAGAATGCACTGGTGTCGACTTTTGCTATACGTGGGGTAAAGCATGCCAGAAGCTGCACTGTCTTCCAGGTTGTACCTCTAAGAACTGTTCACAAACAGAGCCAGAAATGTAAGAGCAGTCACACACATAAATACAGGTAAGAAAGAACTACTGTCTGAAGGATTTAAATAAACGTAGTTTGCATCAGAAAAACCTGTCTTAACAAATATAAAACAAAACAATTGCAGTATTCGGAGCTGCATCAGAATGAAAAAGTTATTTTCAACAACTTTGTATCTCACCTGGCAGAAGAGATGACCCTCCTTCTCTCTTTTAGCAAGACTGGAGAGGTAACAGTGAACAACAAGATGGGAGTCATCCAACACTGTATTAAACCAGCGCCGTGTGGGAAGCAAAGCCTGTGGTAAACAACCCCACGTTAATACAAGCAATTCTTCAAAATGTAAGAAATCCCGGTTTCTCATAATTTTCCATTTCAAGAAGGCATATCAAGATAGATTGCTGGACAGTTATTTACATATCTAATACTCTAACAGAGGTTCTCATATTAAAGCAGCATTTACCTATGCCAAGACACTGGTTTTATGCAGGTAGGCTGCTATGAACACAGCCTTTTATATGACTGCGAGCACAGCAAAAACTTGCTGTTAGTGAGATTGCATTTTGCCAGTAATAAAAGTAAATTAAATAAAGCAATTATTCTACTACTAAGTGTCTACATAATGACTGTGTGCTACAAAAGATATGTCAAACTGCTGCAACATTGTTTTCAATGTTTGGTTTCTATACTAATTTCATTAATTTTAAGATTGTCCTTCTCAAGACTGCAAACTGTGTTTCTTCTAAATATGGTATCTTCTAATCTTTGTAAGATACTCAAATTAGATCTAAGAATTTTTCAAATCTACAAAAAGCTTTTGTAGGCTTTTAATGAAAACAAAACAGAGATCATTTCTTCTCAATGTAAATAGCTTAAGGTGCTCTAAGTAGCAACTGTTCAACAGCGTATAGTAGTACACCTCAACGATTCAAGAGAAAAATGAGTTGTTCTCAGTGGAATCTACAGACTGAATTTAGAAAGCCAAAAAGCATCAACATGGTGTTTAGAACGAAGATGAAGAAAATAAAAGAATCTGTAGTACAAAATGTTAATCACCCTGCACAATAATTACAAAAACCAAACTCAGAATACGAACTTTCCATGGAGTCATTCCTTTCAAATTATCAAATCACCAAGTTTTGATGGCAGTCTATATGCTGTAATATGAAACAGTGATATTCTGAAAAAGTCCTTGACATAAGTAAAAGAGCCCATTAACACAGTACATGCTACTGAGGCAAAAGGACTTGGATTTACAGCTAATTTCTCATTTGCTTGTTCCAGTCACTCAAACAGGCTTCATAAACCACCTGAATTCTAACCTTCCTGTAATACCTAGCAAGAACCAACATTAAATGTACCACCTCCAAGCATTTTGGCTAACAGCCAGACTTAAGTTTAACTTCATATTTTCTCTTATGAGAGTACCTTATACACATAAGACAACAAGCTCCAATTTAAAGAATTCACTCTATCGCAACTACAAGTACAGGCTACTTAAGTGATTCAGCAGAGGACTGTTAGCCTGTATGAGTTCAAGATCAAGCCATTTTAAAGTTCCCCACGCTTACTTTTGCGGAAAACCCTGTCTTATTTCAGAATGTCTTCTAAATCTAAAGTTATTTTAAATAAATTGCTACTCATGTGAGAAATTGTAAATTAATCTTTTAATTTTTAATTTGGTACTGTGAAGCTTAAAATTGTCCCACTTTCTCACTTGGCCTCCTATTATTCTGTAACAAACCTAGATCACCAGAACTGTTACTTCTAAATAATGAATTCTAGTCAAATAGAAATAGTTTGCATTTCAGAACTACTGATGCTTTCTGGGATTATACCCTACAACACAAAAGATACTTCAAGTGACCTATTATGCACTGGAAAGAACACTTCTGGGTTATTCCTAGCAGATTAAAGCGTCACACATTTTCATCAATTGCCACTGCTCCAATTAACAAAGTCTTCTTCACTAAGCAATTTAGGATCCTAGCTTTCTCTAACAGTTCATCTGGTTTATAAACATTACTAGTCAGTTCCCAATGTGGATGCACTGCTACAACCTCCTATTTACAGATGGAAAATCACTATTAAGCAACCATATACACAACTGTGACATAACCACCTGCTAATTGGAACAAGGCTGTAATAATGACTTTACGCATTTAAAACCTAGAACAGTACACCTGGAAACAGGTTGAAACAATAACTTACCTCAAGATCTAGCATGAGTTCAATGAATCTCTCACAATAATGAACTTTGTCCATAGAAATAGGACCTAGATAGAAAAAAAATTTTTTTGCAATTGATCCACACCACAATATATTTGTATTTGAACTATTCTTTAAAAATGTAATAAATGCTACTAATATACCAGTATTAATTTTTTACTCTTGTTAAAAGCTAACTAGCTGTCGTGGTTTAACCCCAGCCAGAAACTAAGCACCATGCAGCCGCTCACTCCCCCCCTCAACCAGTGGGATGGGGGAAAAAAAATATCAGGAAAAGAAGTAAAAATCATGGGTTGAGATACGAACGGTTTAATAGAACAGAAAAGAAGAAACTAATAATGATAATGATAACACTAATAAAATGACAACAGCAATAAAAGGATTGGAATGTACAAATGATGCACAGTGCAATTGCTCACCACCCACCGATCGACACCCAGTTGGTCCCCGAGCGGCGATCCCCTTGCCCCCACTCCCCCCAGTTTATATACTAGACATGACATCACATGGTATGGAATACCCCGTTGGCCAGTTTGGGTCAGCTGCCCTGGCTCTGTCCTGTGCCAACTTCTTGTGCCCCTCCAGCTTTCTCACTGGCTGGGCTTGAGAAGCTGAAAAATCCTTGACTTTAGACTAACACTACTGAGCAACAACTGAAAACATCAGTGTTATCAACATTCTTCGCATACTGAACCCAAAACATAGCACCTTACCAGCTACTAGGAAGACAATTAACTATCCCAGCTGAAAGCAAGACACTAGCACATTCTTCTCTTTCTGAAACAATCATTTCTTTCATTGCAAATCAGAAAATTTTTGGATATAAGAAAGTAATGGAACCAGAGTTTCAGGAGTGTTTTTATCCACTCTGAAAAAAACCCAACGAACACAACATACAAAAACGCACACTTCCACAAGATACCAATGGCCCGCTAAGCTTCTTAAGAACTTTTAACACTGTGTACTCAAAAATACCTATTTAAAAGCTGCAGTCAAGGTGTGTGCAAAAGGCATTGACAATATTCAAAGGTAGTCAGTGGTGACTACTAAGGAGCCTTTAGAATCATGTCAAAACATAACACTGTCTGCTTTAATGAATATTTATTTCCTAAAGCCTCCAATGAACAGTTAATGTAAACGTTCCTAAAACAGGTCTTGCATAATTGGGAAAACAGAGGGAATAGGTATCCTTTCTGAGGAAGCCACAATACACAGAATTTCCCCTTCCAAATCAGTTAAGAGCTGAAGTTTGCTAAGAGTTTAAGAGCAAAAGCAGAACTCCGGGAAGCAATTTCACCCAAATTGTGCTGTGCTTAGAGCCTAATAAGCCTTTTCTGTCAAAAGGCTAACACCTTCCTGTACAAACACTTTTCCTTTCTAAATCAGGCAAGCATATAATTTTGCTTGTCATAATGACTTATAAATCAAGAGCAGTCAAATCTTACAGAATTTCACTTCACTTAGGCTTTTGTTCTTACCGTAAATCAACAGTACTGACAGAACAGAGCCTTATGATATGCATTTATACCACCTGTTTAACAAGGCACCTAAGTATGTATGAAATGCTTTAATGCTGTAAGAAGGCTGTAAGCACACAATAAAGAATATCAGTACCCAGAAATATTTTTTTTTATTAAGTCCATACTGAACAGAAGGAGAAGAGGCTTAAAGTAGCTTTCTGCTATTTCATTTTTAAAGCACATACAGATCCGAATACTAATTTTGACACAAAATCCGTGCAGACGGGCACGTATTTCACTAAAACCCCATCCAGATAAGGTCTCCAACCTCAAGTTGGTATTCTAAGCAGCAGTTGCTTCAGGAACAGAAAAGAATTTAAAACAGATTACCAGATAACAAAGTAACGTTAAGAACCACAGTTACCTGAGACTGGTATTGATTTTAGCACAGAAATGAATTTCTGAATGAGCTGTGAAAGAAATCTTCTCTCCCGATATGCTCTAAAATCAGACATATGACAAAAGCATTAATATTCCTTAAAGGCAGACTGGAAGTACATCATATCTTTTACTAATACGAAGTTAGCTGCTTTAACATTTACATAATGGTAGCAGGTTGCTTTGAAACATACCTAAACTATTTAGAAGATAACTTTTCTCTCTGCACTTAGGCAGACAGATTAGCAGAATCTACACTTTTAGGCACAGAACTGATTAACAACTCATGCTTCTACTGAGTCAAAGAGAAGAAGTATGTCACCACCTACACCTTACCACATTGCAACACAAAAGTATTGGAACATTTAACTTTGGCGAGATAGACATAAATTTATTCAAATACTTGCCTAACCTATTTGCTTAAGAGCTAAACATTTGTTAAAAGGTCATGAAAAAATACGAGTAACTACATGAATATTGTCTTATGGCTTTCACCCTACAGCTCTAAGATTTGGTATCACAAATTCATTGATCAAAATATTAAGTTCTATAAGAGTATTTTGCATAAAGACTGCTGGAAAACAAAATAGTTTCCAGGAGACCACATATGATCAATCCTTATTTGCCATATTCACAGGGTTTTTTTAAAAAAAAACACATTTTTTTATTGAAACAAGTTATTTTAGCTGAAACACGATGAATGCATTAAAGGCTTTGGATTTAACAGGAAAAAATTTCTGTAAACATACCGCATTCTTGTCTCCTCATCCATTTTCTCATCATTTTTCTTAATTAGATTCCAGAATTTTCTTAGCTTTGGTGTCTTTTTCAGCTCTTGTTCCAGTCGTTTCTGAAATGTTAAAGTGTTATTCAGTCACCAAGAATCCTTTTTTCCACGAGAGATAAAAATACAATCCAATCTTATTAAAAAAGAAAAGATATATAGAAAACTGAAATAAATAGCTGTCTCAGACCAGTCTCAATAAGTATCACTGTAAAACGAGAATGTAATACTGCTAGAGAGAGTCTAGACATGGCTAGATCATAGAATCGTTTAGGTTGGAAAAGACCTTTAAGATCATCGAGTTCAACCATCAACCATGACCACTAAACCATGTCCTGAAGTGCCTTGTCTTTTTGAATACCTCCAGGGATGGTGACTCAAGCACTTCCCTGGGCAGCCTGTTCCAATACCTGACAACTCTTTCAGTAAAGAAATTTCTCCTAATATCCAATCTAAACCTCCCCTGCCACAACTTGAGGCCATTTCCTCTCATCCTAATGTCAACTCCATTCCCTAGTCCCTGTGATCTCATGGTGTTGTCTACAAATTATAGCTTGAAGAAGCTATAAGCAGCAAAGCTTAATTTTATGAAAAATTATATAATTAATAATTACAATTACAGGGAAATCAAGAAAGAGAATTTTACCAAGCACACAAAAATCTAATTCCATAGCAATGCGCGCAGCTTTAAATACTAGACTTCCATAACAGTATTCCATAAAAATTCACTTTACAGACTTGGATAATGCTTAGAAGATTGCTTCGCCAGTTTACAGTGTTATGCTTACAGGTTGTAGAGCCATCCACATTGGTAAGGAAATGAGCTGCTGCACCTGACCTCTGATCAAATCCACTTCCTGTTAGAAAGTTACAGACAAAAAATGTTTTTTTAAAATTCTTACGTTTTCCGACATGCCTGTCTTACAAAATACATCAAGGTACATTACCATCTGAGAAAAATATATATGTTGTTGTATTAGACTTCACAATTTCCTAACAGGAAACTGCGCAACAGCCCTACCCAGTAACACTTAAAACTGTTGACAACTTCCACATTTTAGGTTCTTTTCATGGATTCTGTCAGTTCTTAATACTTCAGCAGGGGCCCCACCCATGTAAGTATTTTTAGCATAGAAGCTGATGAGAACCGATGTTCCTTCTTCAGTCATTTCTTGTTCTTGAACTGAGCTTTCTTACTGTGCTTTCTCTAGGTTTTTTTTTACTCTATTCTTTCTCTCCTGAAGCCCTTAATTTATCAAGTTTCTCCCACTTCATCTACGCTCTTCCCATTACCTGAAATAACTGATTTTCTCTATAATTCATGTAACTTCAACTGTTGTTTCAAATGTTCTCTCTCCAATTCTGCCTGTGATCTGGATCCACAAAGTTTTCTTAAACTACTGAAAAACTTCCATTAACATCTTAAATATGTCTTCATAGACAAATACTCCATTCTCAGCATTCTGAAACTTCACACATCAGGGCTCCTTACTTAAAACACTACTGTGACTATCCTGTTCTGCATTTTGCAAAGAAGGGCAGCTTCTAATAGCAGTATGCTTTTACAAGGACTTTTTAACTTGCTTCCATATCATGTTATATGAGAAACATGCTCTGCAAACAGGATTCCATACAGTCACTATCAAACCCTCCTTTAAAGTGAAGATCCATTGTACCTTGGCCACTACAGAAAAGTACTACCTCAATAAACTATACATGTAAGGTTCAGGATGATTACTGGCTCCCATAATCGTTCCTAATTCCAAAATCAAATAATACACTTTCTAAATTGTTTTGTCTGCAAAACATGATTTTGTTCTTTATTTGGGCAGACCCTGATTTTGACTGATATATCCTGTGTGCAATGTAAGTAAAGAAAAAGCCCAGTAGCAAGAAAGGTTAATAGAGTACTGTTTCATATAACAGATAACTGTAAATTATTCTCCACACTTGCTACTTAGGATCTATAACTGTGTTTTTACTATAGATTGAGAACGCAACTTGGTCCAATGCTTTCTTAAAACTAACTTGGGAGAAGTGCAGATAGAAATATTATCCAAACCTGGTTTCAAAAGTGAAAAAAATTACTGTCTTTCTGAACAGTTAATGGAAATAACTTTGTGCAATTTCACAGCCAAACTACAAAGAGTACAGTAGTAAGTAACCTGCTTTTAAGTGTAAAGCACCTTTTCAAATACAAATACCTATTTTTTTAAGCACCATTTTAAATATAAGTCTGAATACATGCCTTTAAATTGCACTAAGTGCCAATCCTCCAATTTCAAGTCTCTTCTATGACCTTGTGTCAGAGAAAAGCAAACGTGACGAGAGAGATAAAGTAAGACTCAAAAAGAGGGGTAAAAGCCCTCCGATACGGTCGTCTTCCTTAAATGGGAGTTTTGCTTCACCTGTCTCATAAGAAGAAATTGCTCAAACTAAACTGCTATTAACACAGAACAGCATAAACACACTGGAAGTATTACAGTTACTTTTAACATACCAAACTATTGAAGCAGTGATCAAGGAAAAGCAGCAGGACTGTCTGTTCGTGCAGAGAATATTCACTATCATTTTCAACCAGCGATGCTTCCAGTATGCATTTGAAAAAGAAGGGAAAGTGTTCTGGCTTTTTTTTGAATGTCTAGGAAAAGAGGAAGTTGATTTTGAAATCATTTCAATCTTCATTCATGTAACATAGCTTAAGTTCTCTAAATCCATTTAAATCTATAAAAGGGAGGATTAGTTTTTCTCTTTTTCATTTATTCTGACCAGGCAGCACAAGCAAAACAGACTAATGATATCCTCCTGACCAGGGATCCTCACACTATGGGCATGCTCGTCATAGACTACGCAGAAGGCAGTAGTCCCAACAGAGATGATGCATAGGACAAACTGAACAAGAAGCACAAGTGGAGTGGATTGTGTTGTGGGAATGTTCAACTGGTGATTGCATAGAATTACTGTAAAAGGACACAGGTTAGAAGAGAATTGGTAGATCTTGGCCAAAACTATGGCAGCTGTTTAGTGATCTGCAAGAAGTGAGCAGGTAAAAACCACCAGAGATTTAATTACAGTTGTGGAACTCTCACTCAGCTACCTCAGCAGGAAAAAGGTAAACCAAATAATCATCAAGATAAAACCGTTTCTTTACAAGGGCAGCCACGTACCAAATAACAAATTTAACTAAGCTGCCTGGAAAGTAACATGCACCTGTCATTTTGCATCTAGTACGTATGCCAAAAAAAAAAAAAAAAAAAAAAAAAAAAAAAAGATGTAGACATCATATGAGCAAGTTATTAATCCTTTGTGCTTTGCCAGCACTGAAGTAATGGCACTACTATTGGAGTAAGTGTGTTTCTGAAATAAAGCTTGCATAGAATTTCTTACTAGGCTGATGTTGTTGAGATGGCCTGTGAGAACTGGACTGTTTGCAGAAACACTAAATCATTTCTAAACCTATTACTACAAAAACCAGTACACACAAAAGCAGAATAAGAGATTATCTTAGTATAAAATTCCATGCAAGAAAGCTACAAAACCATATTCACAGGTTTTAAGCAAGACACTATTGGATAATATGTTAGACTTCCAGTGGTGCCTTCTTATATCCACAGATATAGAAATCCTTTTTCCTTTCAATATCAGAGCAAGAACTTCTCTGCAAATGCCTGACTTTTGTCAAGTGCCAAAAACACAAATGCTGATGATGATGTAAAGGCATCACACAGCAGAACAAAGGACTCACGCACCGAAGCAATCAGGTGATCTTTCATCTGTCCATTGCTTTCTCCAAAAAGAACACACACTTTAAAACATCATGAGACATTCCAGCTGAGGTACCATTTACTTTTAACACTACAAGCTTTGCTACCTTCTGTCAGTATAAGTGATCACACTGCAGAAGCTGCAACTTGCGGATCAAAGTCAATTCTAGTTGTAATTGAAATTGGTTACCTCCCACGCAGGGACATTCTCTCTGAACTTCTCATTCACCATACAGCAGATTGACATTAAATATGCCTTACTGGACACCTCTGGAGAATAATTCATCCACAGGTAATTTTCAAGGTACTGGCTGTGAAGAGACAAAGAATATTTCATTAGTTGCTGCCACCCACACAACCTGTCACTCATTCAAAAGAGCAGTTATCCACAGGGGTTTTTTCCTCCTTCTCCTTAAAGCCATCTTTATAGTTTGTGAGTAGTTCCTGACGTTACCTGTCATCTAGGTCACTGCAGCAAAACTTGTTAGACTTGGTAACTGCTACAAGAGACAGATGAGTTTCTTATCAGGAAGACACATTCACCAGAGGGTTTTCAAGTGTAACAAGTAGCCACAGCTCAATACAAAGACATAACATGAATTCATGTTGATTTTCCAAAAGAAGAACAAAAAAAATCCACTTCACTTGTCTAAAGAATGTCACATGCAGCATTTCCTAGCATAAGATGCAAAAGACAACTACCATAAAACGGTATTTGTATTATTAAATAACCTTTCTTGTAAAAAATTACGAATCATCTAGAGAGATTTTATGCTTCTAATCATAAAGGCAATAATTTTTTTTAATAAATTTATTTTTAATAAATTAAAAATTTCTTGTTCATTAATATGGCACATTTCTCATAGAAGAGACTCTTAAAATTGGACAAACTGTCTCCCTCCTTTAACTTCCTCTTGAAGCTATGCAGGAATTACTCCAGAGGAGGCAATCCCTAAATCCATCATTCCCAGTGCACGTGCACTTTGTGCTATTTTAACAACTGCCACCAGAAAGTGGAAAGTCTTGTTTCTTCCTAAACAAGCTGCTCATCCATTCCTTCATCTCGAGGCCTGCTCTAACATTCATTTGGCCCCTCATGAGCCAACTCAGTTTTACCTATTTACTTTTCTGAACTTTTTACTTTTCTGATGTATTACAGTAAGCTACTTCAATAGTTTCAGATAAGACAAGTACCAGAGATGGTGGTGAAAAAACACAGTGAGAACTTGTATGTAACCAGGAGCAAAAGGCTCAGTAACGGTCAGACAGGGATTTACACTTTCTGGAAGCTCAGCCAGAATGCGTAGCTTCAGATGGAGCTGAGACAACATCATAGACATATACAAGATGAAATACATACTGCTTCCCAAGAGCTTGGATCTACCAACAGGAGGGGGAAACCCCCCCAAAACTCCACTGAACTCCATACATCATTTCACCCAGGAATTCCAATAAACTTCAATATGTTTTAGTAAATACTATTATGCCCCCAACTGATCAAGTGATGACAAACATGTGAGCAAGCATGACAGACAGGAAAATCTCATGTGTGTGAAGACAGGAGAGCTTGACGGACAGGTTGGGGGAGTGGGGGTAAGAAGAGAAAATGGCTTACAGGACAAATGGCAGTAGATGGGGCTATAGACCAGAACGTATTAAATTTACATTACAGGTTGGTAACATTAAGAATGTTCACAGAAAGAATAAAAACCTGTAACTCCATGGTTGCTGGCATACGAATTCCAGAAGTCGTGCTACCAGCATGCTGTTTGTTAGCATCAAACCCCAAACCATAGCTTATATTTTCTCTTCCACCTTTTCTAATAAAGAAGCAGGGAACAGAGGGAAGTTTGTCCTACTTTTCCTAGTTAGTGGTACTACTTATGTATTTCAGCCTTCTGAAATGAAGAATCTCTCTCAACCAAAAACCATCTCATTCTGTCTGCTCATAAGATTTCAGAGATAAACAAAGCCAAACAGAACACTAAATATTGTGCTTTTAAATATGTAAATATTGCAAATATTTATTTTACATAATTTTAGACATGCTTCATGAATTCTTCCAGGAAAGTCTGAAGTAGCTGTAACAATCTTCTGGACAGATTTCCATTTCTTTTCAAGAGAAGAAAATGTTAGTGATGCTGCTGCAGCACAATTAATTTTTAACCTCACAGTAAGAGACTTCCAAAAACTTCCTCTGACTTTGGTGAGTTCTGATTTAAGGCTTAATGACACATTCCAAATTACAGACTCAAGTTTTTCACCTATTTCATTCATACGCTCTTCCTTGGTGCTTCACTTACACTAGAAATTCAGAATCATAAACCAAGATACTCTGATATGTTACTTATGCTTATGGAATTATTTCCTCCTTAAATTAAGCTCTCCTCACTTAATTTGCCTAGGTACACAATTCAAAGCTTTAGTAAGTAGGAACAAATGAGTACACTACCTTCAAACTGACTTACTGTCTTGTATTTGCTTCTTATCTTTACGGGTTCCTATGAAAAAAATAATCTAAAATTTCACTCCAATTAGCTTACCTGAATTCAAGAAGCATTATCTTTCTAATAGCAAACCTAAAAAGGAAGAAGTAATCAATTAACACAGGAAAGAAAGCCTCCCATACACATCTTAGCTGCATGGAAAATGGCTGTATTTTCCCTTATTTTGTTATATAATGAAACCTGTAGAAACATCTAGAAATTACTTCTGCCTTCTCATTTCCATGCCAGAGCAACCACTTGAATGCAGAAGCAACTGCTCTAACACTGTGGAAGCTAAAGTTCATGCAGGTTCATTAAGCAATCAAATTCACATTTAAAAATAAAAATCCATCTAGACCTTTTAAATATGAAGACACCATTTCCAATAGCCTTGAAGACAAAAATGGCTAGAAGCCAAGAGTGTCTTCTGGAAAACTACAACTATGTATTTAATCAGTTCATAATGGTATCTCTTCTTAGTGACTGGAAATGGAAGTTTACTCTGATCCTGTATGGCAATTCTTAGATTACTTTCATAAAGGAATCATAAAGGGAATTCTCTCCAGAGCTCAAACTTCCCCTGAAAAACTCTAAACAGCTAAGGTTACAACTCTTTTCTGTACACACAGCTGTAGAATGAAGTTTATCTTGAATTCTTTGTCTCCCCCATCTAATGATTCACTGAAATAAGACTTGCCCTTTATAAACCTGGTAACAATAATTAGGGAAAAAGAGCAAAAAGCTAGTGGCAGCACACTCCTCAACCTATTTTTTTTAATTTACATACCTTAGTGACAAAAGCAGAGACCAGGCTTCTATAATCATCACAACAAAAACAACATAAAACACAACAGAATGCCAGATCAAGAAGCCAAACAATATTATGTCTAACCATCACATTTAAGGATTATGAGCTCATGAACTTTCTTTTTGCCACATTCAGACTTTGAAATGCCACAATGATTAAATGATTCAAATGCTCTCCAGTCATTTTCATCTGCTTTCAACATGTAAATGCATTTTAAAATATTCTATGAAACATTAGAAACCACTTCAATACAGATAATGCTGGAATGCATGTCTGTAAGTGAAAGTGACTAGTGTACTTACTTTGACCTGACAATTTCTTTTGTATATACATCTTCAATAACCTATGGGAAAGAATATTTCCAAAAAATGGTTTAAGAATTTTATACACTTCATAAAGTGATTAAAAATGCATTAAGGCATCTTACGCACTCAAATTTACTCTGAGTTAGTTACTCTCTGCTTACTGCCATTTGATTAAAAACGTAGTAACAATTATGCCTCAGCTCTGAACAGTCTGAAAGCTTCATAGACACACATTCTCACAATGAAAGTGAATCAACTTAGGGGAAAGCACATGATGACAGAGAATTGATAGGACCTTCATTCAAGTTATTTTGAAGAATAACCTACATCTCTCCAAGATTTTTCGTATAAAAGTCAAATAGATATGCAAACTTTTTTATTGTTAATCTTTGGCTTATTGTTGAATTTAAAGAACAGTCTTCAAGAAGCAAGTCTGCATTAACTCAATCATCTGTTGTCACTGTTTCTTTTAACTGACATTTAACCAAATCCACACACTTTTACCTCGTTTTTCCAACAGGAATTAAAAGAATCTGCACTATCTGTTGCAGTAGGCACACTTTGACATCACGTGACAGAGAGATGCAATTCAGCTGCTTATGTACATCCTAGCTCTAAGAATCCCAGACAAATACTAACACAAATACTACAAAGAAAGTGAGTAAACTGAGGCTGGAAAGGGAGATTTAGCCAAATACCCACAAGGGAAAGAGACCTAACATGCAAGAACCCCGCGCTACAGAAAACCAACACAAAATCAAACACATCGTGATGAATTTTAAACATTCAAAATACACATATCCACCAGAACAGCACTAAAGCTGTCTGATCAAAACTCTCTGAAAAAGCTTTTAGAAAGAAGTTCACCTTTCTTGGATTTTTAAGAGTAGCCCCTCTTCAAACGTCTTTTAACCTCAAAGGAGATGCTCAAAAATCTTTTACTCTCATAAGTTCTTGGCCAGAATAAAGCAAACAAATAGCATACAAAAGAACTGCACTGCTACAGCGCACCTTCATAGCAGTACCTACATTTATAAACTACAAATACATAACAAATTATAGTGTGTTAAGCAACTGTTGATCTTCTAAGCAGTCTCCTATACTCTTATATAAAATAAGCACTACTGGAAGTGGGCACATCAGAAAAAGGTTGATCCTCATTCTTTTACACCCCAACACAATTCCCGTAGAGGTATTTACCTTTGACTCAAAAGACAATTTTTTCTTCACGTGTGGAGCCCAGTATTTGTTTGCTAACTGTATGGAGGAAAAAAAATTTAAAAATAAAGGTTAAATGTATACCTTTTCAGTTGTAGTGATACAATAACTCTGTAACACATGCCATCCCCAAACTTTATTTCACTAGTATCGTGCTTAATTTCAGCTTACGGTGACTACAGGTAACAAAATTATGTCTTCCAACAGCGATGCTTTTCAACCCTTCAAGGTTTAATGCCTAAATCTTGTCCAACAGAGGTGCGATTCTCTGTAAAAATTTCAGCTCCACAGACTGCTATATAATAAACAATTTTTTTATTAAGTTACTTCTAGCAAATCCCTCAAAAATACACCATGACCTTTCAGGGACTGCAAACCCCAGATTGCAAATGACTATGCTCCCATTAAGGAACTTCACAAGGAACTAGAGGCTATATATAAAAGTTCTAACGTTGTAAGGCTATTTGCCGAAGCCATCACTTCACCAAAAATCCTGAGCTTGCCAGGTGGGAAGAGCTTCCCAACCAACTTTATTCAACCTTCTTTATGCCGTAGAAGAGGAAGGAAAGCAGCATTTCAGCACAAAAACCCGAACGCTTGCATAAAAGCCCTTAAAACGTTCAGCCGCAAGAAACTGCCGGCAACTCTTCAGCTAATATAACAAGGCTGATTTATTTTGCGGTGCTGCTCTTGTACATCTCTCCGGCCTGGGGAGACGCGCCCTTCCGTACGTGACACGGGCGTTAAACCTCTCCTCCCTTACCCCAAAACCAGACCCGCTCCCCAGCACCCACGCCCTGCAAAGTCTCCCTAAACGCCGGGGCGCCGTCGCTGCCGGAACGGCCTGGCCCGCACCGCGCTCCGGCGGCGGCCGAGGCGGCCCGGAGACCCCCGCGGGCCGCTCCCCGGCCGGCCCTACCTGGGTCACGTACTCCGCGTTGATCTGCGACACGGTGGGCGCCACGATCTTCTTCGGCGGGGCCGAGGACGCCGGCGCCGCCATGGTGACGCCGGCCCAAGGCGCTGCCACGGGCCGGGCCGCGCCGCTCTCCCGCCACCGCTCTCAGCCCGGGCCAGGCCCAGCGGCATCAACCTCCGGGTACGGTGCAGCCGAGAGGCGACGGCTTCCGGGGCGAGGAGCGCTAGAGCGGCCGCGGGCAGAGGAGGAGCGGCGGGCGCGCCCCCCGCCGCGCCCCCCCCGCCCCCTCCCGCCGC